GGGCGGGGGCAGGGCGTGGAGCTCCGGGAGCCGTTTTTTTTTGCTCCGCCCCCCGCGTCCCGATATTTCACCTGTGTGATCTGGTCACCCTAGAATATATCCCCAGTCCAGCTCTTTTCTTTCCCTCTTTCTGCCCTGCAATCCCCCCTCTTACCACCAGAGGGTTTGCTGATACTTCAGCATGTGACCAGTATAGCCAAATGTATTGGAATGGTTTTTAATCTTTCATGCCACAATCTGAAAGCTAATTCCATGCCATCCCTTTGTGCATGATCACTGTGAGCGGAATGAGCGGCTGAGTGGCCACTAGGGGACAATAGCAGCTTTTACAGCAAGAGCTCATCTGATAATGGCCATGCCTAGAGCCCTCCTCCAGAATTCTGAATGAGTGAAACAAATGAGATCACTGATAATGAACTCAGGAAAGTCCTTACTAAACTCATTTAGTGATGGAAGAGACCAGCCTTGGTAAAAAATTAAAGGGACAGAGTTTGGCCTGAAATTCAGCTTTGGTGTGAAATGAAAGTTGGTGGGTGGACTGTTGAACAGAAGTGTTTTCATAATTAACAACAAAAAAATTCATGAAATCAGGCTTTTTGAATGTAAACACGCCCCTGCCTCATAGCACTGGGAACCTACAACACAACAGCCAGGGGCTAGGGCAAAAGAAGCAGAAAGTGACACCATCTATAAACAGAAAGTGAAACTGACCAGTCTAGTGTCACAGCCTAAATCTACTGTAAGTAAAATGCAAAAGGTAACAAACAGCAGAAACAGTGAGACGTAAATCAGATCTTTAAATTCTTCTCAGTTTATGGTATCCCAAGTAAGGAGATATATATAATTATCCTTATATATGTACTTATAAAATATATGTACCTATTGTAATAGAGAGACACGATCAAGTTAAATAAGTGCAGTTTGTTCTGCATTAACTATCGCTAATAGACAATTTTTTTCTCTGATACAGCATAACGTCAATCATGTCATGATAAAGAGATTTGCAGTGTTACTGTAGCCATACTGGTCTCAGGATATTAGAGAGACAAAGTGGGTGAGATAATATCTTTTATTGAACCACCTTCTGCTGGTGAAAGAAACACATTTTTGAGCCCTGAAGAAGAGCTCTGTAAGCTCAAAAATGTGTTTCTTTCACCAACAGAAGTTGGTCCAATAAAAGATATTACCTCACCCACTTTGTCTCTCTAATAAAAAAGACACCATCACGATAGAAATCTTGATCATATCCCTTTATTCTGACACGGTTGAGGTTCTGCTGTATCGGAGAAGAATGCCGTCTGTTTAGCAATAGTTAGCACAGCACAAACTGTTCTTATCTGATACCTGAAACCCCTCCAGCTTCTGCCTTCAGCCCCCATGCCTCCTCAGCCCTTCTTTCAGGAATTGCAGGGCCTTCAGGATGAGACTGGATTTCCTTGGCCCTCCGCCTTGAGTAACGTTTTGAATTTCTTTACCAGCTATTTCCTCGGACAATATGCACCAGTCCCTCTTCATGTCGGCCTTATCTGCTCACCCTGACCGCTCCCTGTCCCTCTGCTGGGAGCAACACTGCAAACTCCTGCCAGGGGTGGCTGGCATCACAGCAGCTACTGTGGCCAAGTGGACCATTGATGAGGTGAGGGGGTTTCAGAGAGGGCTGGTAAAGCAGAGAAAAATGTAGAACAGCATGAAAGAAATATAGGGTCAGATTTCCAAAGGCACATGTGCAAATCCCCCAGTGCACATGGCTCATTGTGTGCACATGCCCTCCCTGGCATGCTCACACGCTGTGGTTCGTGTCAGGGTTAGGAAACAGCGATGGTGTCCTTTCCCCCAGGGGGAATCAGCGAGGGATGCCAGTGGGAGCCGTACAGGTTCCACAGCCTCTGTGATTCCTCCCAGCTCTCTGCTCCCTGTGAACCACTCATCTCATGGACTTGGTCTCGGTGCCCCCACTCATCCCAGCCACTGGTCTGATTGAGGGGTACCACTCTTCTTATGTGATTAGCAGTTTCCAGCTTGGCTGGCACCGTCGCTTGAGGCTGTGCAAGGACATGGCCAGCAGCCAGCTATTTACTTATTTATTTTATTACACATTTTCCAATAAATCCGTTTCTTTTTCTTGGTTTTTTTTGGCAAGTGGCAACTTAAAGTTGAAACGTAAAACTCAAATTAGCAGAGAAAGAGACAAGAGTCAATCCCAACCCCTCCCTACCCACAGTTCTATCTGAGCTCCTTATTAATGCCTGCTGCTGCTGACAAACACTGCTGTACTCCCCCACGCAGCCACTCTCGGACACTCCCGCCACGCTGCCTCCCACTGCACTCTGTTGTCAGAGATCTAAGGCCTCCGCCCCAAATGCTCCAGGGCCCATTGTTTGGTGAGTGTATTTGTGAGGTACCTGATGACCTGTGTCTCCTTTCTGTGGACAGCAGGCATCTGCACTCAAGTATGGTAGAATAAAAGGCTCTTTGCATCCCGTTCGACCCACGGCTTATACAGAAAGCAGCAGATCTTGGCTGGAGCAGCCAGGGCATGCAGAATTCCAGAGACTCCCAGCTCTGTGGCATGTCCTCTTAGACCCTGAAAAGGGAGCTCTGGCGGTGGGATTTCAGGCAGGCTAATTCCCTGATTCTGTGTTTCCCTCCTTGTCTCTTCCAAAGGTCTTTAGCTTTGTTCAGACGCTAACGGGTTGCGAGGACCAAGCCAAACTCTTCAAGGATGAGGTAGGGGGAATGGGGCTCAGTGCATGGGTGAAGGGAGCAAAGGAAGCCCATTTGCAGTTGGAGGGGGATGGGAGAACAGCTGCCTACATGGTTTCCTGCCACCAGCCTCTGAGACTGCCCTTTTGCTGCTAAAGCAACAGTCCTTGAGAGCATTTGTTTGGGATAGCACCGGCGGCAATGACAGCAGAACCCACTGATAGTGACCTCAGACGTCTGTCTGTCTATTGTGCACGTAAGGCACCTCATGGGTCCATCCAGATATAGTCAAAAGATAGATACGGTGACACTCCATGTATGGGGCAAGTCCGGTCCCCTGTGAGCAGGGGGCTTGGGGTAGGAGAGCTCCAAGGGGTCCGTGGGGGAGCAGAAGCAGAGCTGCGCTGTAGGCAGTGCTGCAGCCTTCTCCCAAAAGGCCGATGGGTCTGCTTAGTCCCAGGTCCACACCCTCCCCCCCCAGTTCCTGTTGCTGGGTCTCTGTTACTGGGGATTACGTGCCTAGCCGGAGTCCCAGACCCAGGCTGTGTTTGCAGCTCCAGTGGTTGCAAAGATTTTGACCCCCACACAGAGCACGTCTGACCCGGACTCGTTGGCAGAGAGAATCACTCGGACACTCGTTCAGAGCTGCTGGGGCCGGCTGACTCAGGGTGCTTTGGTTGCTAGAAGCAACCCAGCCTGTCCAGTAGATGGCCTGCATTTTTACCTGCTGTGGCACCATTTTCCTTTGCCACTTACCAGCCTCCTAGTGTGAGGGGGCTGGGGAGGGGGCTAGGCTTTTCACTGAGAAGGAGGCAGGATCATATGTCCCGTGCTTGTAGCATCACTAGCTAATCCATCCCAAGAGCCACCTTGCTGGCCATGTTCACACGTCCGCAACTGTGCGTCTCCCCCCCGCTTTGAAGGGCGTGCTTTTTGTTTGAACACACGGCCCTGAGGGGAGGGGGTGGGATGCTCTGGAGCCCAGATTTCCTGTGAGCATGGTGCGCACGCTGGACCCACCCCCCTCTCTCCTGCAGATGATTGACGGGGAGGCGTTCCTTCTGCTGACGCAGGCCGACATCGTCAAGATCATGAGCGTCAAACTGGGCCCAGCACTGAAGATCTACAACGCCATCCTCATGTTCAAAAATGCCGACGACACCTTAAAGTGATCACACCCCACAGCCCGGGACTGCCCTCAGCACTGCAGCTGCTAAGCTGTCTGTCTGGCTCACTGGAGCGGAGACCTTCCCCACTGTAGCAGCTGTAAAATCCTGCACGCTCCTTCTCTCTCAGTCGCCTTCTCTGTCCTTGCACCAAACCCATCTCTCTCTGTCTTTCTCTTCCCCTGCCCTGTTACACTTCTCCTCTGGCCTGGTGGGGGAGCTCCAGTCGGGGTACCGCTGACCAGTGCTCTCTCCCACTGATGCTTTTAAAGAGACAGAACACGGATTTGAGACGGGATGACCCCCTACCCTTCAAGCACTTCTGACTGACCTTGTTCCATAGGATGACGTGTGTGTGTGTGTGTGTGTGTGTGTGTGTGTGTGTGTGTGTGTGTG